TTAGTGTGTAAACAAGTGAGAAAAACTGTAAGAAAAAGCAAGAATAATCAATCATTTTGATGTTTGGGGGTAAAATTTCAAAAAGCAATTTTTTCCCAGTGATCCAGCTGGACTGGAACTTGCTCGCTCGACTGCAGGGCCCCATCTGCTGTTGGCTGTCTTGATATCAAACAGCTGGAGCTCGACTGCATTCCTCTCTCAGTCTGTTGGTTCATAGCTGACCTGATGCTCAAAGTTTAAACTCCCCCAATCTGTCACCCAGACAGGTGGCTATCAGCATTTTCTTGTTGGAGGTTATATAGCGTGACATACTGTTTCTTTTTTCATCATTTCTAAGTCACATTGCTCTGCAGGAGTTCACTTTTCTCTTCACACAGACAGCACAGCAGCAGTCGATGTGGACTAGACTGCGAATCACTTTTCAAAATACATCCAATGAAAAAATGTTTTAAATTTCATGAACTGTTTTCTCACTCAAACTCAACTGCCACCAAAACTGTGGTAACACTTTCTAATTGTGTGGGACGTTGTGGCGTTTTACCTTTCTCCTCCGGTCGCAGAGCGGTTTACAGTCCTTCCACCTTACTCTCCATTCTTCAGAGGAATTCTTGTCCTCATGGTGGTTTTTGATAACCAGCCAGATGATCAGATGTCCCTCTTGGACACAATGACTGCTGGGTGTCTGGATCAGATTAGATGTATTACAATAGAGGACATAAGGTGTGATGTGGATGAAGACAGGGTTCACTAGCACTGCTGTAATATTATATCTGTAGCTGCCCTACATTGTCCTTCTTTAAGGGTAATATCACACAGGTTTCCGCAGACCGTGTAAGCCAAAGGTGACTCTACAAAACAATGAGCCAAAACTCTGTGTGGTGCTTGGACTGACGCAAGTGCCTTGATAAGGACGAACTCTGCGGTCCATCTCCAAGGTAACCCAAGGTCAAAATTAGTTTATTTTTGGGAGCCTGTTGGCTCACATGGTAGAGCGCACGGTGTACAAGGTCTTACCGCAGCAGCCTGGGTTTGTGTCTAGCCTGCAGGCCTCTGCTGCATGCCATCTCTGCTGTTTCTGTCAAATAAAGGCACAAAGCCCAAAAACTAAAACAGACAGACTGGTTGGCTCACTTTTGAAAATGTCGCATGTGGTTTTACTTTTTATTTTATTTATTTTATTTTTTTTAACAATCGCTAACCTCCTTTTGTCCAATCTGTAGTCATATTTTTAAATTTCCTAACACAATTAGCCCAACATCGGTCTGTTCAGGACCATGCCGTTAACACAGTTCATGTTGTTTCTGCAGAATATGCAGTAAATTAAACCATTTCTAAAATGTTGTATTTTTCTTTACATTCAAGCTTACTCAATACCAAAACTATGGATGTTTCTTGTCTTGTGTACAAATGGTTGCACACAACATGAAGACATACTTTTCAAAACCTTAAATAATATATAAAGCTTCTACTTCTGCTACAATAGCAGCTCAAAATCTATATTGAAACAACAGAATCAACTTCATCATTTAAACATTGAGAAACAGCTGATTTATTATAATTTGGGTAAAACAGATCAACCACAGCTAATTCCAATCTCAACCAGAGACATAGCCAGGTGTTGAAGATCTTTAAATCACATACACAATGCAGTAGAGTTGAGTTTATCCTATGTGGATACAGAACAATACAGAAGAGGAGAGAAAGAAAGAATAATGTCTGAACAAGAGAGAGAAATAGTTTTGCCACGGAGAGGAGTAGCTCAAGCAGGGAAGGTTTTTCAATCCAGGTGCACAGCGAGAGATGACTTGATGTTCAAAGAATAAAAGGTGGGTTTGAGCAGAAAATGTGCTATTTGGCTAATTGCGTGAGTTAGGTGTGTTGCTGTGTTAAGACTTTGGATAAAGTGTCTTAAGTTTAGGTAAACGCTTGTTAGCAATTGACAAAACCTGTAATAACACACAAAGTAACTTTAGGTTAACTTAGGTAAGCTTAGTGTTGTGAACCAGTCTCCAATAGAATCTGTATAGATTAGTGAATAATAACCTTCTCTGGACACTTAGTGAACCTCGCGTGTCTAGGAAGAATAAACATCTCCAACGTGTCCTTCAGATTTTGGTTTGGTATTTCACCGTGTTCTCAGTCTGCTGCTTTTGCCAGGCTCCCTGGCTGGTCTTCAATAAATCTTTCTGGCTAAGACAGAGTTTCCTGAAACCTTCCTTATCAATAAAGAGTTGACTAGCTCACTAGAATTTCTTTCACATGGTGAATATATATAGTTTTGTATTGCATTACTGGAATTAATTGAAAATTGAAACATATTCCAGCATCTCTGAGTCAACTTACTGTAAGGTAGAACAATCCATGCAATATAGAAGGGCCCTTATTTTTATTGTAATGGATTCTTGGTTTATGATAAATAATATATAAATATATATATATGATAAATAAATAACACTAATTATAATGCTAGCCATTGTTAGTGGCCAATATATAGTGAATGACAAGGTGTTAGTGTTGGCAGGCAAACGTTGTCAGTGTTTGGGGACACGAGTCGATCCTGACATGTGCAGGAAGTGTTTTGGTTTCATTAGTGCTTTTTGGACGTGAGCTGCATGTTGCTAAAGAGGACTGTGAATAGAGTGTGAATAGTTTTTTAAAAAGTGAACTCCTACAGAGAACTTTAAACAAAAGCTGTAACACACATGATGGAGATGTGGGTTTTGGGCCACAGCAGCAGGGAAACATAGTACTTTATATCCATTGCCTTGTTTTTCTTTTTGGTTTTTAATGGCGGTAAATAAAGTAAACAAGCTTTCTTGTTTAGTTGGTTATAAGCCAAACAACCGCCAGCATAAACCACAATGAATGGCACTTTAAGAAAAGCATTTAAAAATGTATCCATATTTTCAGCATGCAGCATACTCTCTGACTGAAAATCAATACTCCCAAACAGGTGGGTGAACTGTGGCCTACTCTTGAAAAGCTCAGTAAACCCAACCCACACACACACACACACAGAGTACCTACATTTGTGAGCTTCTGCAGTCTGCGGCGCAGCTGAGCACACTGAGATCAGATGCAGCCGTGATCCTCTTTCCACTGCCGGGACTGTCGCCCACATGAAGCATGCGGCTTCTTCTGTTGACACCAGGCAAGGCTGTGCAAAGTTGATGGAAGCTTCACTGTTTTTGTTTTGTGGTACAGGCTGGAGAAATGAAATGACTCCAGACATTCACAACACCTCAAACATGAGATGTTTACAATTTGAAAATCTCGAAGTCTTATTTTGAGAAAGTAGAATGACCAACACATTGATACACAGAGTTCTGGAAATCAAAAGACAGAACTATAAAGCGTTCAAGCTGAAGCTGAACATTTCATTTACATAAATTTAGCTGATGCTTTTATCCGACTTACAATTATAATACAAGCTATATTCAGTATGTCAGAGGATTCACGCCTCTGGAGCAAGTGTCTTGCTCAGGTGCACATCGGTGGGTGTGTCGTTTTTCGGCACTGTCAATATCACTTAATACATAATTAATCACATATTACATAAAAAAAACAAAAACATAACTGTCATAGCTGATTCAGATTGGTTGGAAATGTGTCATTCGGAGTCAGCCTATCCTAGCTTGGTTATTGTAACAATGAGTAAAGATCAGCCTCACACGTTTATAATCCTATTTGTGTGTTTATTTCCCTCCTAAACACAAATATGTGGAATCACATATTCTGTCCCATAAGTACCCCCTGAGGTACAAGTACCCCTGGTGCAAATCACTGGTTTAAATCACTTAAAATATACAAACACCAATTAATATTTACGTACATGTCCCTTCCTAAATACGTGTTAAAGGACTAATCCAGTGATTTAGCGTTGCACATCCAAAGAGACAGATTTTAAAATGAATGGTCAAAATCGAGCCAGCAGAAGCTGACACATCCCGACTTTGACCCCTTTGTGAATGCCTTCAAATCCACTGCATATTATTCCCATAATGCAGTGGTTCTTAAACCTTTTCAGTCAGGCCCCCCTTTAAAATCTGAAAAAAAGTTAAAACCCCCATCATTTCTATCAATCATTAACAACACAGGTGATTGGATCAAAAGATCCAGGTTATAAAAATATCCTTGCTTGCACCAGAGCCCCCTTTTTGTTATTCATGCCACCACATGAATCACATTCGTGCAACTTTGGGTCAGCTCAACGTCCATGCCCCCCCTGCAGTGGCACTATTCCCCCCCAGGGGGACCCGTTTACCAGTTTGAGAACCACTGCCATAACGCAACCCAATAGCTCTTTTTGTTAGACCCTCTGTAAACACCCACTCTTTGCCTCTAGTTTGTAATGCCTGCTTTCTATTTTAAATGAGTAGTCTCCCAAGACCATAACTCTGATGACATCACTAAGGCATCATCTGGGTTGTTTTCTCATACTTGACAAAACTCCCTCAGAGCCACAACAATCATATACTGTTTGCGCTGCCTGCAAGAATTTCTATGTACCACTTCTCAGGAGGAACCTGTTCATCTTTTACTATTTGCCTGTAATATTTAAAAGTGTCTGGAGAGTCTGTGGTGCTCTATAATTAACTTTTAGGAAGCTTTCTTTGCTCGATAGTGTTTTGCATCTTCTATGATATCAATATTATACATTAATAATATTCCTAACTTACTTTGTGGCTCCTGTTTGCTGCCTGAACAGAGAGTTGTATGGTTTATAGAGAGAGAGAACAGTATTCTGCACTCATGTAGCCTAGATGCGTGCTTTTGGAGTTTTGCAGCATCCCACTGAAAACATATAAAGGAATCTAATTAGTTCATTTTCATATTGTAGGCTAGTAAGTGTCATATATGGCAGCTCTCATCCGCTTCCAATGCCATAAAAGCATCGAGTCCCTTGATTTGCTCACTCAAAAATAAAGCTCTCATGGTGACAATAATCCACTGAGTTGAGGTATTACTTTGGTCCTCTTGAACAAACAAACTCACACACCTCGAGTATATCTCTATTTTTATTTGTGTATATATACACATATAAAAAATAAGGACATATGTACAATGATAATAAATATCAACATGTTTTTACAAGTGAAATAAGTTACTTAACATATTTTAAAAACAAACAAAATAAAAGATCAATAACAGACAAGCAAAAAACGGGGCAAAATAAAAGCGGGGCAGTAACAGAATAATAATTTGAGAAAAAAGCAGAACTTAAAGCCTTGTTGTGTGAGAGAAAATATTATGAGCAAATGTGTAAGAACTGAAGAAATTGCACATGCATTTTTTTTAAGCTTCAGACCTGTATTCCTTTATCTTTTTAGTTTTGCAACATGTTATAAAAGAAAAGCCTAATTGTGCAGGGGAAATATATTAAGACATAACCGAGTACCAGTGTAAAAAGCTAAAAATATGTTTGAACTATTTGCCTCACAGAATTAACATAAAGCGGACACATTCTATCACTGATCTGCTTTGAATTAACAGATACTTATTTGGTTTTTAGGGGCTGACAAATTAAATAATGGATAAAAGGTTTTGGTACATAATTCAGCCTTTTTATAAAGTGAGAGGATAACGAATTGGGTCCAGCAGATCACTACTGACATATAAACAGGAAGAAAACAGGAAGTCCATCAGCCTCAAGCCATTTTTTTTTTTTTTTTTTTGCATTTCGCTTGAGGGAAAATTTGCAATTTGAAGATAAAATATGCAAAAGGTTGCAGACATCAGCTCAAAGTAGCAAAGTGGACGGACTGCTGAGACTTAAATATCGATCTGGAATCAAATAAAATTAATTTAAGTAATTAAAAAGAAAATGCAGTCTACTTTGGCTTTTCCAAAAAGGTGAAGAGGCACAGAAAAAGTAAACATGTTGAAACGCAGCCATGAGTTCCTGTACAACCCTTGAACCATAAAACCAGACATGTTTTTTTTTTTTTTTTAAAGAGAGCATTAGTGTTCCACAATATTAGTGTTTGTAAAAGTCCAAAAATGACAGATCAAAATGATGCACTTGTACAAGGATGATCATATCAAAGATGGACAGTCCACTTGCAGAGGATCATGCAACACTAGGATGGAGTGCTGATGGCCGAGTACCTCTTCAACCTTGGGATCACTTCGATATTCTACATCTGTCCCAGCACTCTGTACACAGTGGGGCAAAACAAGGTATTTTTGTCCTCCCCTTCCTTCTCGCTGTGCTCCTCTGGTCCCGACAGACACGTCCCAAAAACAAAAGCCGCCCCTGATGGACAAAGCACAGAAAGAGGACAAAACAATGTGAAGTTAGTAGCAGCAAACTTATGAAGTGTTTGCTGTATTTCAAAGTTTCCTTGAAATTAGATCAGAAAGTAGGTCATATTTTTTAGGCCATCATTGCATCACCATGGAAAATATCACATTTTGTGCAGATCGTCCTGTTGGTGGATTACATCATTTAGTCTGGTACTTCATGCTAACACTTCATTATACCTTACTGAATAATTGTAGGTGACTATAAAATAATATAATATAAAAGGAGTGTACGAGAATTTGCAGCAACTGTAAAATAAACTGTGGTATGCTTGATGAAAAGGTCCTGCATACTGTCTGAATCCTGCAAGAAGAACACTGTTATTAAACAGCCGTTTCCGTCTGACAGAGGTCTTCCTTAGGTCATCTTATTTTGATCCTTGTCAGATTGAAACGTTTTCTTTTTAATAAACTGTTCTAGTCACAGGCTTCGGGCAGTGAGGATCCTTATCTTCTGCCAGGAAGGCACCTTTTCTGATGCACCTGTCCCTAGACTTTAATAAAGGCACGCACAAGGACAGCTTCTGATGAGAAGGTGACTGGTCAAATTGTGCAGAATATGACAAGACTAAGGGTCTGCAGCCTAGCGGCATTCAGCTTAACAAATACATTCTGATTTGAAATAGCTCTAAAAACAACCCAGGCTACATTAGCCATACTGAGTTTATGTTACTTAATTTTTCAAGCATATGCAATGCATATATAAATAGCTATAATACCACTTTGTATTTTCATGCTAATATCAGTCTTCTAACTGTTAATGCTAGTCTGTGCAAGTAGCTTAAGTGGTGTGTTACCTTAAAGCAATAGACACAGTTGCCAAGCAATGATCATTTTTATTTAAATGAAGTTAGACGTTTTGGGAAATACTATTATTTGCAGGGAGTTGGGTGGTAAGATTGATACCACTCACGTGCCTGTCCTCTAAATCTGGAGCTGGAGCCAGGAGATAGTTAGCTTAGAATAAGACTGACGAGAGGGGAAACAGCTTGCCTGGCTTCAACCCCACCTGCCAGCACCTCTAAAGCTCACTAATCATCCTTTGTTAAATCCGCACAGAGACCTCAGTGTAAAACAACAAATTGCAGTTTGATGTGGGGTTTATGTTTTGACTGGTAACAGTGACGTCTTGTTTTGACACTTGGTTTAGCTAAACTGTCTCATGGCTGTAGCTTCATATTTAACCGACAGACATAAGAGCAGTATCGACCTTCTCATCTTAGTCTCAGCAAGAAAGCAGGTAAGTGTATTTCCCAAAATGTTTAATTATGTTTATAAGTAATCTGTTGAGCAGAGGGACAGCAAGATAAGCCACAAATATAAACTAACTCATTCTTAACACTGAGCTGCTGAAAAGCCAAATTGGAAATCGTTTAAAGGTTAGGACTTTGCTTAAATCTGTTTGCATGAATTTAATTAAGTGGAACAATACCTTTCACTGGTTCATGACTGCTTCCCGCCTGCAGCCAGCAGTTTGTCAGCACAGCAGCAATCAGTCTGTCTGTCCATTATTCCATCAACACTGTGTGTGTTCTTTTTGTGTAGGAGTGTTGAACAGTGCTCTTCCTCTGTATGAGTCCACAGTAGCCCCGGGTCAGTCTCTGGGCATCGGTAAGAGGGAGGGGTGTCATGGGGTTTAAGGGTGCGTCACAAACACGCTGTATTCCAGGATGGTTGGCATTCAGAGCGTTTGTGTGTGTGTGTGTGTGTGTGTGTGTGTGGGAGGGGTAGTTTCCTTCTTGGCAGTACAACTTACCACCCTCACCAAACACATAAGATATAAAGCACTTATTGAGACATCCACAGCGGTCGCAACAGTGAGGGTTCAACTACATTCTCCATGCCTAATGTCTTCACGTCAGCTTCAATTTGGAATTAAGTGTGCAGTTATTGTTCCGCTGCTAAGAGCTGAATGCAAATCGCCTCTTCTTTCCAAAGAGATGAACAAACGTCTCACAAAAAAGAGAAAAAGGCTCTACCAAAACACGTATCTACACACGCTGTGACTCTAGTAAATGTCATTTGGAGTGCACTTGGAGTATATTGGACTTGAAGGTGCGTTTGAAGGTCACCGTGCAGGGCTGAGCGAGGAACGGATGCACTTGCCCTGACATTGTCATTCACAGACGGGAGCCATTTGTCACTTGATGACCGTTTGAACACTGTAGAAGTAGGAAAAGAACAACAAGAAATGTCTTAATTCAAACCAACCAGCACAACAAATTATAGTGGAAGGGATCGAGGGGTTTCTCCAGGGGTAAATACAACGTGGAGGGGGGGAAAAAATACAAATTTAGAAGAGAAAGTCTTGAGAGATTGTCCTTCATTTAAAACCCCCTTGTGTCTTTCACTCCAATTCACTTCATTTTTCATTTAATTTCCTCTCTTTTTGTCTCTCGCTCTCTCCCTCCTCTCCTCCCGGTCCCACGCAGAGCTCCTGCTACGGGGACATGATTGTCGCCTTGCTTCGAGATTAATTAGTCTTTTTATACCACTCTCACACTCTTGGCTCACAAATACAAAAAGGGAAGACGTGCTTCCAGTTTTTAAGTGCAGTAGGCTGAAGAAGTCTCAAAGGAACAGGAGGACAGAGAATCAGTTCAGTATTTCCAGTCAGTTGCACTTGCCGTTCATCAGCTGGTTTCAGCACAGGGTCTAAAAGCCTCGCTTGGTCCACTCAACGTAAAAGAAATGTGCCCTTCCGAGAAAATCTAACACCATTTGTTTGATTGCTCGAGGTCTTCTCCTCTGCGTTCAGCCTTTTTAAATACACAATTTACACAAGTGGCGATTGCACAGTGGAAGAAGAAAAAGCCACAATCATGACTGCATGTTGCCCAGAACACAATAATAACAGGATGGTGGTGAACACGGTGTACGAGTGTGTATATTCAACATGCTGTGTGCTATAAATGTCTACAGTGAGCCAAACAGGCATTGGCAGAGCGAGAGACAGGGAGCATGGGGAATTGACAGCGTGTCACTGAAAGAGAGAGAGAGAGAGCAGGCATCCTCAAAAGGAGGGAGGTAGGTTGGTTGTTTTGTTTTTCCAACTCAGGGAATGCAGACGGAGGAGGACAGGCCTAGACGGACGACTCCTCGGGGTTGGCGTCGGGCAGCACGCTTCTCTGCTGCAGAGTGCGTCTCAGCTCTTCCTTGAAGGGGCTGGAGTAGTCGTTCCCGCCCATGCCCAGGCCTCCCAGCCCGCCGCCCCCAGCGCCAGCCGCGCTAGCCCTCTCCTCCCCCGCTGTGCTCAGGTTGAGGCGGATGTAGCCATTGCTACCGGAGCCTCGGATATTGGTGAGGCTGAGACGGCTGGGGGAATGGATGGGCTGGCCCGGAATGGCGCTGGGTGACGCCGTGCTGCTGACGCTGCTGGGCCCCAGGGCGTGACCGGGAACGATTTTCAGCGAGCCGTCTGAGTAGTAGTAGTTAGCGCCTGTCTCCCAGAAGCGGTCCTCATCGCTGGGCATCTTGCTGGGCACAAAGGTGGGGGGCTCCTTGGGCAGAGTGATCGGGTAGACCAAGGTGCTCTCAAGAGGCTTCATGTCGGCTCCCTTTCCCAGCGCCAGCTTCAGCCTCCTGCGCAGGTAAAGAGCTGCCACAAGGAGCAGCAGGCACGCCGCTCCAAGGGTGATGACCAGCACCCAGAACAGCCCCATGCTGCTGTCTGGAGCCCGGGCCTCCATGAAGACCGGAGCACTGGCAACTACGGCCACCTGGTAGCGCTCGGTCTGGAACTTGACCCCCTGCTCCTCAGAGTAGCAGATATAGCGGCCTGCTTGCATCTGGCCCGCATTGGGGACAACGAGAGCCTTGAGGGTACGGTCGAAGCGTGGCCCTCCCGCCTCGGGGTCACCCAGCGGGAGCTCACGGTCATTAAGAATCCAGTAGGGTTGAGCCAGGTTGGAGACCAGATGGCAAGGCAGCACCATGTCAGACCCCACCACCACTGTCACGTTCCTCAGACGGGAGTGCTCTGCAGAGGAACACGGGAAGAGTCGGGGGTGGAGGGAAAAGCAGAAAGGACAGGAGGTTAAGTGGCGTCTATAAACATTTCAAATCATATTCTACAGCAGGCAGCTCCCTTCTGCTTAACTCAATTTTATTCAGCTCAATCCAAATGTATTCACTCAGTCCAGCTCAAGTCCATTCTCTTTCCTGCACTGACAGACAATTCCCACAAGGGGCCACTACTGAGGTCTGGCCCCACACTCACCAGGGCTTTGGAAGGGCTTATCGATCTTGGGTTTTCCCCAGCTGAACCTTTCCAGCATGAGGTCCTGTGACAGAGAGGAGGTGGACCTGGAGGGGAAAGGGCAGAAAGCAGAGCGGAAGATTAATGATGGTCCCCCACAGAGTAGTACAGACAGCATTGTATCCAGTATGTGTCAGTGCAATCTGCTGTGTAATAATAATAATAATAATAACCTGAATCTTTAGAAAACACATCAAAACAACTTTAGACTTTTGCAAGACAATTTCAAAATTGTAGCTACAAATACAGCATATCTGCCTTTTATTACAATTTAGATATAGTAAATTTTATTAATTTTCTGACATGCACGAGGTTCTTCTCTGACCACAGCGTGTAATATTAATATTTTATGGTGATGCTTGTTTCACCAGGCTGACTAGGGAAAACAAAGCATGTAAAGCAGGAGAGTTTTACTCCACAGCTTCAGGATGAAAGTCTGTAAAACCTGCAATGAAACCTGCTTCACTATTCTGCAAGGAGCTGCTTATATCCATTAGTATGGATGTCAATATAGAGTTTAAGGGACACATAATAATGTCTAAATACGGTTTCATAGGCTTTCCCATGAGCAGCTTCTTCTTCTGTTTACGGTATGAATGCATGGGTGCACATAGGTAGTCGTCTCACCCGCGGTGGAGGTCGATGCGGACACAGGCCCGACCCTCGCTGTCCCAAGCGCAGTAGGGGTCCCGGGCGAGCAGACAGTCTGGCTGAGAATGATAGCGGCTGCAGTTGGCCAAGGGCAGCTGGAGAACCTCCGAACGAGAGCCGATGTACAAGTACTTCTGCAGAGAAACCCAGAGAGTAGAAGCAGAAGACAAAGAGCAGATCCAGCCATCACCCGGAGACAGAAACCAGAGAGAGATGAAAAGCAAGAAGAAAGATAAACAGAAAGAGTGACTCAGTTAGGGGTTGGAGGAGATAATGGGATAATCACTCTCAATTACAATAACACCCAACCCCCCCCGACCCTCTTCCAATCCAATCTGGGTTGCGCTCTTTTCGCAAAAAGCTGTTAAAAAATGTCTGGTTGCCGCTAAGCCGGCATTAATGAGATAAGCAGTGGGCTTTGGTGCTGGGAGCGCCCTGTCAAAACTACATCGATCGGCGGTCACGCCATTGTAGAGCCAGGGGGACACGGGCTCAGCTGACAGGGCGGGGAGACTGAGAAAACAGCAGGGCCAGAAGTTCAATTCCCCGCTGTGGTGGAGGATCGTAATTACTGTTATTGTGAGGAGGGTTTTAGATTCATGAGGCGACACTTGATCTGAAAAAGGGCAGTGTTGATAAAAACATCTGCTGAGTGGTACCGGGCCAACGCCACCGTGCTGACTGCCCGTCTGATGTCAAGGGATCTATGATTGTAAGTGTCTGGCAAAAAAGGGTGTTAACACATCAGCAGAAGACAAAGTCCCGCTGTTATCGCATGAATACCAATGAACAAGTGATGCAACAGCAAAGCAAGCTAATGGAACCTAAACTATGCTTTCGAAGGATATGATCAGAGGAAGTCCAGAGGTACCGTTAGATGTGCTGGCCGGGCAGGACAGCATCTTTTCCTCCTGACAGACCATAAAGATTTCTCATCTCTCAAAAAGACAGGAAACAAAACATCTAGGAGCAGCTGGAAGCTCAAACTCCAATGATGAAACAAAAGATAAAAGAAGAGGTGCTTTCTTCTTTCCGTCATCTTCTGCTTATTAAAATCCCTTCTGTCTCAATTTGTTGAATTGAATCTGGTCTCTTGAGATGTTTTTAACAAAAATGTACCCAGACAGAGATGAATAAACGGAAATGTCAACACAAGACTTGAAACAAAGACGTCCCTTTATGTCTTGAATCTTTCAGACTATCAGATGAGAATTTTAATTAGAACTAAGTGATGCTTCATAAAGGGTTACTGTGGCGCATATTTTAATGCCAGAACAAACTGAATGCGAGTTTAATAGTATTGAATTTGAAATATTCAAACTAATTATTGTGTGCAAAATGTTCACAGCTTCACAGATTGAAATTAATCTAATGGTTTGAAACTGAATTCTCACATTGCTACAAGTTACAAATTCAGTTGCTCAAAATTCAGCTTCAACTCATCCGGGGGAACAGAAGAGCTACGATTGAGTCCAACTCCTTTTAAAAGACTTCTTCAGACCGCAAGGCTTTCTGGGTATGCAGGTTATTAGCGGGGTTGTGTAGTCTCTCTTCTCTTCTAGTCTAGAGTCCCCCGGACCTGGATGAGTGCCTCTGAGTTGAAACAAAATTTGGAGAAACTGAATTTGAAAACTCAAAAAGCAATACACGTTAAATTCAATTTCAATCTGTGAAATACAATTTGCATGCAATATTCAGTTTGAACATTTCAAATAAAAAAAATGATTGCTGGCACTTCAGCGACTCCACTCCACACCCTCGCATCCAACAAATTCTGTCACTTTCTGAAACTGAAAATGTGACAACCAATGCCCACTTTAAGCTGGCGAGCAAGTACGCAGGATTTTAACTTCTCTCTCAAGCTATTCTTTCATTCTTTACACCAGTGATTCCCAACCAGGGGTACTTGCACCCTAAGGGGTACTTCTGGGGTTACCAGGGGGTACATGGAGATACACTGATTTGATAATATATATATCCACATATTTGTCAACACACAAGTAGGATTACAAATGGTGGTCAAGACATGCCTCCGCTTGCCACCAACCTGAATCAACAGACTGCAGAAAGACTAGAAAAAGACCACAAAACCCTAAAAGTAAAGATACTGTAAATGGCCGAAACATCCAGTTTCTGTCATTTGAAACTACAAAAAAACACCATCGAACAACACGATAAAGCCATCCCATCCATGATAAAGGGGTATTTAGGAACACCTGATGGGGCTGTGGGGGTTACGACAGACAAAAAAGGTTGGGAAACACTGCTTTACACAACCACATCAGTCACTTTTCATGTGTTAAAACCAAAAATTATTTTCACGCCTCTGTGACATTTTGGGGTATTTTATGTCTTTTTAAGATAGCAGAGAAAGATGACAAAGGTTGCCGGCTGGACTTGAACCAGCGGCATTACAGCTCATGCACGGCATCTTAAACCCTGGGTGCCCTGGTGGCCAGCTTTTCACCCTGCTTTTGAGTACGGCCGTTCCGGTCATCTAGAAATATTTTTGCCTTTTGACCTGGTGAGATGGTCAAAGCCTTCACAGCCAGGTCAAGCTAACCGTGCTGACATCATCAGATCATATTTTCTCAGACTCGACAAAGCTCCTCCAGAGCCACAGGACTGTTTTCTCGTGCTACTTTCTGTGAATAACTGAGAGACATCCCCTCTTCTTTTCCTTACCTTGGAGTGGGAGATGGTCAGGCTGTCCACAGGCTGGGCTGCCTCAAACAGCTGGATCTCCTCTATCACGTGGGTCTCGGTGCCCAGGATCACCACCCTCCGCAGCCAGCCCTCCGCTGCAGCACACAGGGGAGGAAGATTCAGCTCACTTCTAATCTGTTTAGTCAAACTTTTCATTCAAAGTTCACTTCAGTGCAATATACTTTCTTCATTCCCTCGGAGCAGTTTTTTTTATGGCATGCATAAAAACATATATTTTCAAACAGCACTCGGCTCCCGATTTGACAGCTCATTTAAATATCATTGATATGCTATTAAAAATATAATAAACACACACACACACACCTGTGACTGCACACCAGTTCATTTGAATAATAAAGATGTGATATCATAAATGTACCCGCACACACGCATACCAGTCAATTTAAATATTAATGATCTGTAAACAAGCACCTGTGACTGCACCGTGTTTCACTTTAATATTAATGATACACTAATAAATTCACAAACACACAACTGTGACTGCATAGAAGTTCATTTAAATATGAATGGTGAGATATAATATGCAAACACAGCCCTTTGATGCCAAACTATTTTTAAATATTAAAACACAAGCTGTGTGCTACCATCTTCTTTCTTTAGCTGCTGTTCAAAAAAACTATACTGAGGGCCAAAAAACATTCTGACTGTGTTGCTCCGCTCCTCAAATGAGTTCAAGTTGCTAGCTGGACAAAAATTAACCTAAGGTAACGGCACTTTTAAGCTTTAATGCTTCATTTGGACTTGTCACAGCAGGTGAAAGTACTGACATTAATGATATTTGGGGTGCTCCACTGCCAGAGAGCCAGTCTGCAAATAGCAAGGCCCTGGAGCTGGAAGAGTGTTAATTAATGTTATTAATTAGGCTTGTCCTTTTCCTTTAATGATGTAAATATCTCTGCTGTGAAAAAAAGGTCTATTAAATAACAAGAAAGTACTCTCTGCAGAAAAAGTTGGTCACATGCATGATCACAAACGCATGAATCTACGGTGTCATCAAGTTGTCTGCAACTTTCATCAACTTCAATTTGTGAAACTTGAACGCCAGCTGCACTGAAATGTCACGCTACCCTGCAAACGAAAAAGAAAACAACTCCTCCTGCCAGAACTCACAGCTGCATTACAGAGTCCAGCTCAGCAAGAAACTATCTAAAGGTGAATTTGAAGGAGTCGAGATGCTGTTCCTGGCCTTTTGAGACCTTCGGTAATAATATCAGAGACATACGAAAACTTTTTCAAGCGGTGTGTGGGGAGCGTACGCTGGAGGCGGATGAAGGGGAGATCCTGTGCTGCTTTCATGTAGGGCATTGTGAGCAAGTTTAGATCCCCTGTGATGAAAGGTGTTTCAGGCACAGCTGGTGGGGTGACCTTGATGTGTGTGTGTGTGTGTGTGTGTGTGTCTATCTATGGATGGAATAGTACTATATGCTGACATGTGCTTTCTTGTGTGGTCCTCTCGATTAAGAGACTGTCACGGATAATATGAAAAGCTAACCCGCCAGCCAACGGGAGGCTTGAGAGAAGGAAATACATGCACACACACACACACACACACACACACACAGGCATATCATCACACTCGCCTCTCACGGCGTCAGGGACCAGTGTCGGCTAATCCCTCAATCCTGTAGCCTTTTTTTTTTTCTCTGAAAAACAGTCTAAACGAGCGCTCCCTCTCTCTCTTTTCACATCAGCTGTCGCTATGCTGCAGCTAATAGCTAATCAAGCCCGCAGCCCAATTGGCACTATGAGCGCACGTCTGCCAAGGGCCCTGTTGAGTTTGTGCTGTGAAGCACGACAAGCGGGAATGACTGCACTTGGCTCAGGGAGTGGGAGTGTGTGTCTGCGTGTGTGTGATTGTGTATAACAATTTGTGAGTGTGTTACCCTTGTGTCTGTGCCCATGTGTGTGTTGGTGTGTCCATGTGTGTGTCCGGGGTTGGCCTCCCTGCATGCCAGCAGAGAAACCCTGAGTCCGCTGTTGTCACACTGTCAGCTGCCACAGTCACTCTGCCGCTGCAGTGATCTGAATGGTAAGTAGTCGAGTCTCTCTCCATTCACGAGATGGGCTGCATTCAAATTCACATTCCCTGAAATCCACTGACAGATTTGTGTTATTCAAGATTAACACTCTGGGAGGGTGGACTGACTTCAGATACGTGCCAAAACAGGACACCTGCATATGGGCCTGACGGCTCCTGACTGGAGATATTAATTAAGTCGCGCATACGTAGACGTTTCCTTTGATGCATGAAGATGGATCTCGGCATGCAAATCAAGTCCTTAATTGAAACCCAGCTGAAGTCTGGCCAGATGGTATGTTGTTTTGTGCCACCATACCTAATGCCAGTACCTGTCCCTGTCTGCTGCCATGGCCTGTAAGCTCTCATCTCTTCAACAAATACTGTGTGCAACTCCCTTCAGCGCACACACACACACACACACACACACACACAAACCCAACCGCAGTGCAGGAACAGGACAATATGAAGAAACCTAGTGCCTAGGATGCATTTTTACTGCCACATTGAGAGAACACACAGGAGGTGGGTGATAGGAACACTATATACTGTACAAGGCAATCCACCCTGCAAAAATAGTAGCTTTGCCTTTGCTTGTCATAAAGGTGATGTTTGTTCATTTTAAAAGCTGTAGACTGTGGCGATCTCTCTTTGCCTGCATTGTATTGTAAGAAGCTGTTGTCATTTTGACCCCGACAACTTAGACAGGTAACTTGAAAAGGTGAAATTGTATCTGAACAGAATTTAAGTGCGCTGGTTTATGTTGACAAGTTCTAACACTGTAAACACAAATGTCTTAAAGAGTTAAGTGGTTGCATCTGAGAGGTTGAATGGGAGCTGCTGCTTAAGCTGAAGTACTTAAATAAGTAGAAGAGCTGAAAGTAGTTTAAATCAGTCGGTGAAAGCATTTTTTATTGTAAGCACAGTAGGCAGTCGGATCGTCACTTTATATGTAAGCACTTAGAGTAGTTGGACTGTAAACGATGAAAGCAATCAAAATTTCATTCACAAGTTGAGACACCAGAGAGTTTAGGTGTGTGCACTGTGAGTAGTTGAAATGTCAGTTGGTATGAACTGAAAGCACTGACAGCCACTGAAATACAAGTTGGACAACTTGAGTGGTCAGTAGAAGAGAATCATTTAGTTGAAATGTAATTTAAAGTTGTGTGTGGACGCTGAAAGCAGTTGAGATGTCAGTTGAAGGGGAAGAGATGAAAGGACTTAAATGATCAGTTTAGGTGAAGCTGAAATTCCCCTTGAAGTTGAAGACAGTTGAAGTGTACGCATTGTAAACAGTTAACGTGTGAGTCGACTCAAGAGGTTCGCATTTCATGCAATTTGCAGCAAAGTAAACATGGAACTTGAACTGCGATTTCTGAAAAGGCTGAACCAATATGACTGAGTATGGAGTACTAACGATGGTGACTTGTTTAAAATGTGAAGTATGAATGAAGTTGAAGATGGGTGGGAACACTGAATTCACTGCTTGACTTATACTGGCTTATTCCAATGCCCAAAAACTTTCAACTAAAACTACCAGTGGCACCATTTTTGCAGCAATATTTGGAACCCTCATGTAATTTGTACCTGTGCCGATGAAGAGCATGTTGTAAGCCCGCTGGTCCAGGGCGCTAACCCGGTCCACCGCCAGCCTCGTGAAGTTGACGCCCTTGGTTAGCAGCAGGGGGCGAGCCAGAGCTTTGTCCTCCATCAGCGGGTGCTTCTTGGCAAAGTTGAGCGTGCCGTCAGGCAGCTGCAGGGAGGTGTTGTAGCCGTTCGCCCTGTCTGAGTTAGTTATACACTGCAGCGCAGACAGAGGACGGAGAGACGGGGGACAGGAATGGACACAGAGGAAGGAAATGAATGGAGGAAAAGGACGAAGGGAAGAGTGAGAGGAAGGAGAAAGAGGAAGAGGAGGAAACTTCTTAGCTGCAGCTGGCACAGGTTGGCATGGCTAGTTGGCTCTGAGATGACGGCCCTCCCTCCCACTCTCCCTCCATCTTTCTTTCACTCTCGCTCTCACCTCCGCCTGCCATCACACCCCTTCCTCTGCTTCCTTTCCTTTCGTCCTGGATCATTACGTTCTTAGGTTTTTGTGTTGTGCCAGCTTTTCTTTTTTTTTCCACTTCCAGTGCTACAGCGCCCCACGCCACCCATTTCTACTTCCTTCCCTCCCTCTTTCATTATCCCTCCTCTGCCCACTGAGCTCTCCTTTTGTGATGCAGTAGTTCACAAAAAAAAAACGGTGCACAAAAGCCCTACATTTTTAGAATAATACTCTCTCTTCCTGCTAAGTTGTCTTGAAATATTTTCATTTGCCAAACATCATATCATATGTGCCAGTACAGGACTTCTCTCTTACCGATCCAGGCCGTGGAGCAGGGACAGCACCGGTGTAGCGTCCCCACCTTTGGGATGCCTCCCTGTACTCTTTGTAGGCTCCTTCAAACACATTCTTCACATCACCGATCTGGTACTGGCACACTGCCGACACGTCCACGTCACCCCTGAAACATGCCGGCAAGGCGAGGAATTAGTGAGAGACGGACTTCCTGTCATCCTCTTGTGGAAAATGTGACTTTTCAGTAGCAAGTAGCTTCTGGATGCAGCACAGGTGAAGCCAGACTAACAAGAATGTGAGTTGCTATACAGAATGGAATATGGGAAACTGTTAAAAGCATGGAATATGAACTACCAATGAACATGTTTACAGGAGGCTTCCAGAGTGTGCAGATGTGATATTTTCAGAAATCAGCCTAAACTGTCCTTTACTGAGCGAGCTGAAATGATGGGATGTGTTGACACATCTCCGCTCTTTCTGTGGCGAAGCACACTGATGTACAAATTGATGCACACGTAATAGACTTCCTTGATAGGGCCCTGAAATCAATCAGTTGGTGCTGTGACTCAGGAAATGCGTTTCATTTGATGGTAAGGTCGGGGGGTCTGGGATCTTAATTTCATTTTCCAACCCAATTTTAGACCCCAAGTGAAACTGAAATTGGGTATTGATGCATGACCCACACACATTAAATTAAACTTCTACTCCTCATCTCACAAATCTATTTGATTTCCACGCTCATTCACTGGAATGAAAACATTTTTCAGCTCTGAAATGGAGTCAGTTGACATATTGATACGTACATATAGTGAAAACTTTGTGCTCTAAAACATAACAAATAAATTCCATACCGATTCTTCCGTTTTTTATCGCAGTTAATTGTTATTTACATTCGCCAAGGTACATTAGCTGCAAGCTTAGCTTTACACGGAGTGTGTACCGCAGCTGTAAACAGGAAATGAGATGATGTATCCATGAATTCAGTGCTTTTCCAGTGCGGAACAACACTGTTAATGTGCCACGGGTTTTATAAGGTGAACGTCAAAACCAAAGGACAGCCCTGATGTCTTAGCAAGTTAAAGAGCTAGCCTATTCAGAGAGATTATGGCTTGAACTCCGAGTCATCATTTGCATAATGTCCAATTATCTTAATGTTATCTCTGTTGAAGCCAGGGGGCTTTAAGGAATCCCCAGTGAGTCACACAGCGCAAAAGGGTTGGGCTTATTTTTTTTTTTTGCTGCAGTAAGAACTCTGAATGAAGAAACAAAGCTTGAAGTTTAAAGCTGGTTCACTTTGTGATATGATATCTTACTGAAGAGCACAAAAGACTCACATTAAAGAGCATTAGCCGGAGATGGATGAAGTCTCCAACTTTCCTCCCAAAGAAAAGCTCCTGCCCTCGCTCCTATGTCTTTGTTGATAAGTAACTCATTAACACATTACATTTATGTAATGGTCCAACAAATGCCAATTTTATTCCACTAATAATACCACAGTCACTTATCAAAACTAAGTCACTATTGTCAACACCCTGTTAATTACCCGATTGTAGTTTAATTATCACACTTTTCTCTGTTGCTACTTCACAGGAAAAATGTCAGAACCGTTTAGTTTGTCCTACATTTATTTTTATCAAGCTAAAAACTAAAAGCCAATAACCAATATTATGATACATTTCTGCTCCTGAGAAGAAATAAAGCTTTTAGGTCATGATACTCAAATTGGAAGGTATAACATGTAAGGAAAATATAAAATTATTTGATGACACTGAATCACCAGTCAGTGTTTCAAAAACCCGGGTCTTCTAATGAAAATTTGTCATCTACTTGTTGATGTTTGGACCTGATTCTGTTTGGCAAATGGGTTCATTATCATCTGAAACACCATTAAGTCCATGTGACGTTAAATCACTACTACAACCAATAAAACATATTCAAGCACACTTGAGTTGTATCCACTCAAATTAACTCATAACACTACTGTCACTTAGTGGCCTGTTGTATTAAAAGCCCAATTACACAGTAAATATCTACTCACACAAAGTACATAATTACAGCCATCATATCAGAGTGACTGGCTGACCCATGATTTTAATAAAAAGCAGAGTATCTGACATGTTGTGTTGTAGTGCCTCGCCCTGACCGCACACGTAGTAATTAACTCACATTTATTTGAGGATGATACTGAAATTGAGCTATGTCTGCAGTTTTCGTTACATGTCTCTGACAGCAACACTCACCACTGGGCGTGGAAGATACCGTAGAAGGTGGTTCCCCGCCAGTCCTGACCCGGCAGCGTGAAGACGGCCCTCAGGTTGTTGAAGGAGACGTGGCGCTCGGGGATGGAGCACTCCAGCCGGGCTTTCTGGAAGGTGGTCCACTTCTTCTGCAGGGTCCTGGTACCACCCAGATCACCCTGAGAGAGAGGGCGTATCAGGTCTTGTCAATGGAGGGTATGGGTCAACTAAATTATATCTTGATTTTTTAAAGCCCCCCTCCATTTAAAAAATATGTTTAGCTTCACTTGGATGTTTGAGCTTCACTGTGCAGAAGGATCCATGTGCTGCACATTCATCTGTTGAAGGGGGAAGTTTCTCTGTGTTAACCCAACATCTCCCAACATCTCCCAACATCTCCCAACATCTCCCAACATCTCCCAACATCTCCCATCTCCGCTGATAGATTCCATTTAAATTGTATAGATTTTATACATTTGATTCTGATTGATTACTGATTCTACTTTTATTGTTTTTTCTTCTTTCTTTTTACTCTGTGCACTACATTCCCTGGTGCTGCTGTGCCAACAAGATCAATAAAATAACTTACCCTCTAAATCTCAGTGTAAGGCCAGTTCACCAGTGTGATTATGTGACATCACAACTACTGTAGTTTGGATGCCAATCATGGGCCAATATTAAGGCTGGACGATACGGCCAACAATGTTATCACGCTAAAAAGTTTCATATCTTTCGATATCGATAATTATCACCATAAGAATCAAATTGTAATTTCTGATTTTTGCTTCTGAGTGAAAGTTGAAGAAACCTGATGGTTAATTTTAGACTCTTCTTCATGTTTAACACTTGAAGCCAAACAGTGGATCACTTCACAAGTCTGAGGTGGAACATTCAACACAATTATAATAAAATCTTTGTCAGCAAATATGAAATGAAGTAAAAGCTTTTTTTCAGTCCTCATTCGTGTACGATTAAAGTGAATATAATTAAACATTTACTGAATATTTATTGAACATTTGTTATATTGTTATTGAAAAAAATTATATTGTGATCATTATTGTTATTGTTTTATTGTCCAGGCCTATCCTCAAGTGCACATTAACTGATAGATGTTTCATAAAGTAAACTTTCTAATGAGGCAATCAAGCTGCTTTTGTGGCAAAAAACATATCAGATATTACAAATCAAAGCAGATTATTCTTTATATGATTTAAAACATGTCAAAAGTTTTCCCCCTGAAATTTCATGCAGCGAACTTCAGCCTGGCAAATGCACGCACAGATCTTAAACTGTGCTGCATCACTCACACGACACACTGCAGCACGTATCCAAAACATCTTTTGCTCTACAGCGGCTGAAAACCTTGTTTTTCTTTAACTTGTACTAGATGGTGTGGTCAGCGCACCGTGACATCACTGGCTACAGATCACACTTCTTACCACGCCAGTGTTATCAGACATGCAACAGACACAAAGAGGGCAGTAAAACTACATAGTACCACATAGTATCTGAACTGTTGCCATGTTGGGAAAGACGCTATTGGAGCATCTAGACCACTGAAATGCAGTATAATCATAATGTTCAATTATACAATAAACATTGCATTGTATAAATTGATGAGTACTTCCTTTATATAGTATTGTATGGGCTCAAAAGAAGCATGTCTGCCAGAGACATCTCATTCCTATTACCCTCATTTAAAAAATGCAAATGCTCATATTACAGCAGTGAGATATGGACATTGTTGCTTCTGCTGCAATATCAGTAGGATGCGCTAAATTATTCCTCCCTCTAGTACACATCATGTGTGAGCATCTGTTTCTAATTTCATTCAAAGAGCTTTATTGTTCATTACAGCACGGACATTAAAGGGTGCTTCCCATAAAACAGTGCATATATTGTACATTTAATTACACACATGTCCCAAGACTGTTAACAACCTGTCTCCATGTTCCTCAGTTTTAAGGTTACTGAGATGATGTGGTTGGAACATGACACGAAACCCTTAACTAAAAGGTCAAAAAGAAAAAAAGTCTCCCTGAGTGACAACGAGAGGCACATCTGATGTCAGTCTATAATCACTGTGGTATATCAAACCTAATCAGTTATCCTAATGAGACCATTCATTAAGCAAATGAATACATTCATTACTAAATAGCTCTATGTCAGCGTAATTGTCTTCACATGACACTTTGTTAGTTAACTGGTGCTGAGCTGAAATTCAGTTGTTCTTGTTATTTAAATGAAAGTGCAGAGCAGCTATTTTATTTGTGCTTTATTCTGGTATTATTATATTTTATATATCATTATCATTACACAGTATTAGTAGTTTCAAGTTTCTGTCATGTTCAGCACACCACCTTACGCTATCTGTCCTCAAGTCAAGATAAAAGACTGAGTGATTCATAGATTAAAAAAAAGAAAATCAAAGCTATCTCCTGAGCCCTCTTGAGAAAGGGTACATTTAAGTTACGTAAACAACAGTGCTGTGTGCTCTCTGTTTATGGCAGCTTGTGTGAAAATCAAGCTAAAAGTAGAGCAAGCGTCAGCGGATCTGACCTTAAAATAAAGCGTCAGTCTGTTAACTTTGTTATGTAATTAACATCAGGCTGTTCCAGGTGTGACTTATAAGCTTATTTGCTTACTTTACATATATTTAGCCGTTAAACAGCTCTACTGGTTCCCTCCTTATATGGGCATCTCCTGTTGAAGGCTGCAAACCCACAACTGTTAGCAAGTACTGTCTGACATTTTTAAATGCTCTGAAGCAGCTGCTAAAACAGCTGGAGAAAAGGGAAAACAAATGATTTCAAGCCAAGCACGCATGTGTCCCTGTGCACTCTCAAACCGTCACTTGCAGATAGACTACTGCTTGAGTTAGTCTGTGCTTTTCCCTACATTTTGTTCCGATCAGTGTTACCTTGCAGACTCGGGCCACTCTGGCCACAGTGAGCTCAGTGTCACAGTCCAGCTCCAGAGCTCGCTCACTGAAGAAGAAGTAGATCTTGTCGTCGTCCCCCTCTTTACTGCCGCTGCTCTCCCTCACCAGGGCTGAACCCACAAAGTCCGGCTCTGCATGCGCACACAGGAGAACAGTATCAGACAGTGTTTTTACACACAATAGTAAAGACATACATCACAGCTGAACAGTCTCAGCCTGTAGGTGCATTTGGACTGAATCACACACACACACACAGATATTGACACACAAGCTTGACACCTCCATCTCATTCCCTGCCACCCTTTCTCACCTCTCTGTCTATTTTCTATCATCACTCTCCCCCTCGCCTTGTCTCTCCTCCAGTCATTTCTCACTCTCTGTCTCCCCAGCGCTCCCTATTATCGGTCCATTTTGTGTTTCTCACTTCTCCCTGTCCTTCCTGTCTTTCTCGCATTCTCTCTATATCCAGTCCTCATTAGCTTGTGAACTATTTCTTTTGGTAGAAAAGGGACAGACACATTTTTCAACTCAAGTTGCTGCTGGCTTTAAATGTAAAGGATACAACGTTTTCCTATATGCTATTTCTTTTAGTATAAAATCCTTTGAAGCAGCATTTTGTGCAATCATGGGACACTACAACTCAAACAGAGGACAATAAAATACTTTTAAGCTGGCCAGAAGCTGCTTCCGTTCAGGTGAGGCTAGCTTCACTGACCCAGGTCCAGGTCCAGCTCTGTATCACCACGAATGCACGGACACATCGGTCTAAACCTCAGCCTCATCTGTATGTTCCTCCCGGCTCCCCCTCCATTCTCCATTCCCCTCACCTCTCCCTCTATCTTTTCATCACCAACCCTAATGTCTGTTCTTTCATCACCCATTTTTTCCTGCTGTGACTTCATCCTCTTCTCTCCCCTTCATTTCTCTGCAAGTGGCTCTCTCCTTCCACCTCCCCCCTAAAAGATAACGATCCTTCGCTGTAGCTCAGTCCTGCACTTCATTTCCTGCAATTCATTTCTCTTTTTTCTTGTACTTGCATGTTTCTGGCTCTTAAAAAAAAAAAAAAAAACTCAGTTAAAGAGAAGCTGGGTGTTATCAACCTATAATGTGATTTATTTTATAATAATAATAATTTTTATAATTTTTATTTTATAATATTGTGATTTATTTTATTTGAAAACATATTTAATTTGTCAGTGTCACAGAGTATTTTAGTCTAATTCTTTACAAGTATGCATGCATGCATTTTAGCATACACGTCTGCTAAACTTAGCACACTATAACGTGATACTGGGCATCTTTGTAAAGTAGTTTGGAGGGGTGCCGTCTTTTTTAAAATCATTTCCAAATGACCAATTCTGCAAGAAACAAATATTGGAAAGTTGAGGATTTTTTGGCAAAGAACGGGTCAAATACAAACATATAGAGCATTGACCAAAATGTTTTTCAGTTGGCAGGATTACCACTTCTTTCTCTTTGTCTTTCTCAAGCCCTATATTTCACTTACCATTGAGCCAGGCAGGCAAGTATTCGCTCTTCATGCTGTAGTGCTGTTGGCCCAGGTTCCTCAGAATCACTGGCTCTGTACCCAGGAAGTTGTTGAGCGTTGCTGAGTATAGCTCCTTATCTGTACCAACAAAACACAAAAAGCTTTAGTTTAATTCTGTTTTTCAGCCACAATTGTGCAGGCTAACAATGAGAGAAGGTCATTGGTTCAGCGGGGAGGCACAAAAAAGACGGAGAACGGGCGACTTTAGGTCCAGCGAAGCTGTTCAAGCTGAAGTGAATGTAGCATGCAAAGTTAAATTGGACTTGTGGACTCTCAGTGCAATCGTATGGCTACCCAACAGATGGGAAAAGCTGCAGGAGCAGTTTGTGGAGATTTGATGGACATTTTATGCTTCTGTTAGAGCTGTAAAAACACGGTGCTGTTCACTTTACTATGCAGACTGCTGAGGTGGAACAACAGGAGCTGACTATGTGTTTGGTACTGATTTAAATGTTGGTGCACTAATCATGCATTCTTGATTTGAAATGATCCTTAAATGATCTTTACATCTGTTCTGAAACTTGAAACTTGTATTATTAAAAGTTAGTGTTGTCTGTACATGTAAACATGCACACACATATTTACTTACCCACTATTAGGCCTGTATGCCCCTTTGCAGGGTCATATGGGCATTTTCCCTTCCCATCTTCCATAGCTGCAGCGTCGAGGGTAAAATAATCCGCGTTCTGCAAGCACACACACACACACACACACACACACAGACAGACAGACAGACAGACACAAAATGAGGCTTGTGGTCAGTGTGTATTATGGCCCACCCGACACAGCTGCAAGCTCTGTCTGTCCATTACAACGGTCATAGCTTCACCCCTCGCTGTGTTGTCCGATCACGTAAGTGTCAGATACATGCGCACACACACCAGCATTCACACATTCAGCGAGCCCGGCGTGAGATTCTTTTTCCCATTGCATATATTTTTATTTTGTCACGCATTGGTCTTAGCCTGAGGTCAGATGGCAGACACCTCAAGTTGACACCTGTCGGCACCGGCTCGCAGTAACTGACGAGGGAAACACACACACACACACACGCATACTTACCACGTAGGTGCATTTGGGCTGGAAGGCGTAGGTGCCGCAGGTGTAGAGGTGCGTGTGGTTGTAGCTCTGCAGGAAACGGATGTAGTTGAAGCACTCGGTCTGTGAAGGCGAGGTGAGGAATTGTTAGAATACGATTGTCTTTCTTGAAAAGGCTTTGTCCTACGTTAAGGTGAAGCCATGAAGACTTTCACTATACTCACACATTCTCTGAGATTTAGTTTTACTCTCATGCTTCACTGGGACTGAAATACCTCAAAAACCTTGAAACTAGATCATGTTTGCTGATAATACTTGTTGTAAAATCAGTTGGCAATAACTTCATTTTACTTTTATCTGTCAGCTTCAATCCTGTTGAGGACATCACTTAATAGATGATGTAGTGGTGTCGTCATTATCTCAGTAACCTTTATGCTGAACAAAAAAGCAACAGATTGTTTCCAATCAAAGGATATGTTTGTAATTAACAGAATAATATATTCAGTGTTTTATGGGAAGGGGCCTTTAATGTCTTCACTGTGATGAACAATAAAGCTCTCTGAATGGAGTTGGAAACAGATGCTCACACATGATGCCAGAAGAATGAATAATTCAGTGCATCCAGTTGAAAACAATATCTGTACCTCACGGCTGTAATATGAGCAATAGGACTGTTATTTTTTTAACAGCTCCTGCAATCAGGGAAGATCATCAGGATGAAACATATCTGGCAGATGAGCCTCTTTCAAGCCTGCAACTAACATTACATAAAGACTAGTCATTAAATATAACGATGGGCACTGTAAACATCATATGGTTAGTCCTGCATAGTAAGTTAATTCCTGCTATATATATAACCATACAGTACGAAGGCATTCAAAGATATTTTAGTCACTAGACTAAAGTAGTTGGGCAGAATAAATGAACTTTTGCTAGTATTTTTCCCTAATCACAGGCCGTCACGCTGTATTGTAAGAACCACGCTAAAAACCTGTATTTTTTTTGAGTCAGTTTTAGTTAAAGCAGTGTTACTGCTACTACTGCACTCCAGTGAAGTATTTCCCCTTTGTATTAAAACCACAGTAAAAGTTAATGTTGTGCAATGAGAGAAGTTTTAGCTCTGTTTCCGAAAAGATCTGCGAGCTTCTATGAAATATTAAACAAGACCTCTTGCAAATGCACATTACACAGCCCAAGCAGCGGGAAGCCCTGGCTGAGACTAAAGTGAGGAGCTGGGGCCAATTCTCTATCTGTGTTTACACATGTACCACAATTAGAGGATCATAAGTCTGGACAATGTATGAGTTAATAAACATCATCTGTACAAGAAGCAAATGCAGATATGAAAGGAATAGTTTCTGTCTTAGAAGACAGATCCCACTCTCATGTCTGTATATTTATGAAGCTACTGCCTGTTAGCTTATGTTAGCATAAAGACTAGAAATGGGGGGGGGGCGGACTAGCCTACCAGCACCTCTGAGACCTCACTAATACAAAAACCAAAGTGTAAAAAGAGTTTTACAGGGGTTACATTGGACTATTTCTTCTCTGGGTGCAGTGACTTCCTGGAGTCTTGTCGTCACTGTACTACCTGTAAAACCACAACTTTTTACACTTTGGTGGGCACAGCCAGGCTAGCTATTATCTCCTGTGTCTGGTCTTTATGCTAAGCTAAGCTAACCGACTGCAGACTGTAGCTTTGTACTTAACGACAGACACGGCAGCCTATTGACCTTCTCATCTAACGTCTACTCTGGGGAAATATGCAAATATTCATATTTCCTCACAGCAGTGTTTGTACTTGTTATGTAATGTGCTGTGGCTAATAAACTTTCTATTCAATTTTATTCTTTTGTGTGTCATTTGTAGTATTAGCGAACGGATGAAGCCTCAGTGTAAGTCTTTATCACATAATACATTATTTCTGGAGCAGGACTTCACTCACTTTTTGTTTGTTTGTGAATTGATCGACCTTAAAAGTTGCTGATCCTAACCCTGTCTGGGAGATGCACTTCACCGGGTGCTAATGTAATAACTGGAAGGTTTCCAGTCAGAAACCCCAGACTGACTTGACAAAATGTAATTGGACAAAGTGAAGTGAGTAATGTTGCTCTCATAAACCACTGTCTGAAAAGCGACTGCCATGCCATGGCGCCCCTGAGCATGGCAGGTCACCCCAACAACTCTGACACTGTCAGCTGAAATCCATGTTACCTGGTTGTTCTTCCCCTTGGCGAAACACTCTCTCTTCTTATCCTGCGGAGCGGGCCAGTCGATCTGGAGAACAGAAAGAGACAGATGTGATGTGGGCAACACGTCGTCTGCAGGAATGATGATGTCTGCCTTTGGCACGTAACTATTACATCCCCCAAATATGTCATGTGTCGATATATCATCTTCATCCGTTGGCATAGACCATAAACAATGCACTGCAAATAGATGTGTAAATCACCTCATTTCTTTCGGACGTGGTGCACTTAGAGACACATGTCATGACAAAAAATTCACACTTTCCTCGTTGCCATTTTGCTTAACTCGGCCTCTACACTCTGCACTCTTCTTCACCAGCTGTTGTAACTATAGCAACAGCCACTGACTCAAAAATAGCACATTTAACAAGTACATTTTGGTACAGAAACTTTGATTTTGATTATGTTTTTAATAGATGCATTTTCACATAATGGACCCTAATTAGAGCATGTGCATATTTAAGAAGTTGTTTCTGAAAGATTGGAGTCCAAAGTTACCCTCACCGTGAACTAAAGAGTTACTAAACCAACTAAAGAGTGCAGTTAAGTCTGTTAAAATAGTCCACAGACTGAGACGCCCAGGTGGCGCAGGGAAAAAGCACCACTGCAGAGACCGAAGTTCAGTCCCTGGCAGCTTCAAACCCCATCAGACACACTGTTAGTGAGGTCCTTACTGCTTTACTACTACTACTACTAGTACTACTGTAGTGACAAGCATACGTGGAGGACGCAAATAAAAAAGAAAAGTGTTTTGCTATTTAGTATTATTTACAGTAGCTGCTTTTTCTTAAATGACTGTGTAACACATGAATGAACTTTGCTCCGTGGACAGAGGTCCAAAATATGAAGTGTGATCACTAAGAGGGTTTCCACACCATTAGAGATAATTACACTGGTCATTACAGGCGGAGAGCTGCTGCAAATTCAGAATGAAACTCTGATTTACTTGACTGGATTTAAAACAACAGCAATCAAACATTGGGTAATTGCCATACACGGTACTGGTAGATAGAGTGCGCTTTAAATCCTAGACTAACTTTTATATATAATGATAATAGAATTAGTTAGAATCCTCTGATCAGTACAATATATTAATATTTCAGAGGCAAGAAAATGATTCACCTTCACCCTTCCCTACCACTGTCCACTGAACACTCAAATGTAATTCTCCTAGAAGTCCCACTGCAGAGATGATGGAGTTTAATGGTTAAGATTTAATAACTGAATTAATCATCAGGATCAGTGGCTGTGAAATATTACCTGTACGATCTGTGGGTTTAACTAATGCGTTATAGTTTTTTCTTTTAAAAAAAAAGAAAAGACAAGATAAAATGAAGCATAGCATCTCCAGCAGTTTATTGTTACCTCTAATTTGTTCCCAGGGGACTCTCATTAGTCGCTAGTCACCGTCTACTTTATTATCTACTCCGAGAAATCCAATGTTCACTTGCGTCACACAGATCAGGTATTTAATAAAAAATGTTATGCAGTTGTAGGTCGACAAGTAGCAGTGGTAGCTCTCACTGTTAATGACTAACGGCCTATTAAAGAAACATCTGCCAAAGTAAATGTCCTCCACCTCACATTAACACACGGCACTAACAAGCAACAGCTGTTAAGCAAACATTTCTGCTATTTCAGCTTGTATAGATATCGGACACAAATAGATTGTAAAAATAGATTGTGTATCGTGCATACTCAGTGAAAAGGCCTCAACCCTTAAAAAATGGAGTGGAACATGTTTGATGTTTTATCTCATTCAAATAATGCAGTCGATGCTTTTATCCATTAGAGAATGAATAACAAACAAGACCTTAAAGTGAATACTGGTTCTTAAGTAACTCAAAGTGCTGGTAGAAATTGTAATGTAGTGTACACGGATGGTCCTAAAAACTAATTTGTGTAGCACAGATAGGTGGATATTTTACAATATTTTGTACATAAAATGCTGCAGCAAGGTGAAACAGCGCATTACTGTTGCAAGTGCAGTCAAAACTGTATCAGTGGCGGATGACTTAACAAAGTGAATAAATGAAATAATGAAAAACAATCCACTATAATCATCAGGGGAAATAACATAGCTAAATAATGTAGTTAAAAAGCACTTCAGACACAAATTGGAAGCAGACTGTCTCAAAAATAAATTCCAGAAAAAACACAGCCCTAGAAAATATCCAGGGAAGAAAGGCAAGCATGAATATAATGAAGAAAGACAGCAGCAAAGAAATAAAAGAGTGGCAGTTAAAGGAAGGAGAGGGGGAGGAGGGGTGAGAGAGTGATGGGCAGATGGTGACAGAGGGGATGGACAATTCCCTCATCCTCGCAGTCATTTTTCTGTGTTGGCTCCTTCCCTCTACATTGCACACTGGGGGCCGACAACAGGTGGTCTTATCATTACTGTAAGATGCATAACCCTCACTCAAACAGCCTGTGTTGTATGTCACAGTGTGTGTGTGTGTGTGTGTATGTGCGTCTAATAACTGCTCATTATGGCGGTAAATCGGATAACAATCCCCAAACCGCTGCAGGCTGCTCGCTACACCTTCATTATAGACTGCTGTAATTGTATTGATTGCAATATGGACCAATTATTGAGGGACAAAAGCAAAACCAGATTGAGTCTCTGAGGCTTTAGCGTCCCTGTATGTGTAAGTGTGTGGGTGTGTATCAGGTCGAGTCAAGGGTATTTATAGAGCTCATTTAACATACAGGTTCGCCCCAGAGTGCTTCACAGGAAAAAACACAAGATACACAAATTAAAACAAGGACAATAAAAAAAAAACATGATTGAATAAGTGCATCGTAAACTCTGGGCCAAAGCCTGTGCCCGTGTACTCCCACACGTTCACAGTGGATATGTTTGTGCTGAAAGAAGCAAAATATTGGAGCCAATAGCTGCACATATTACCGTCTAATATCTGGCAGCTTACTCACACTATTACTTTTAGCACCAGATAAGATAATTAACTTCCAAATAAAGTAATAACTTTGCAAAACGTCAGAAAACATCTGAGTCCAAAATATGTAAAACATGATAATGTAAAAATCCAAAATCTCTTTCCTGATGAACAAGTAATCATTATATTATAAGAAGTGCAAGTTTAAGCTATTCTTAAATATAAATATCATTCTGAATATGTTTGTTTTTGTAACATGAAATGGTAATTTTCATAGTTTAAAGTCTGGAGTCTAAAACTGACAAAATACATAAGTAACTTATATTGATAGTTACATAATTAAATGGAGGGAAAAATAAATAATGGTTTTATCGGCTGGTAAAAAAAGCAAAAAAAATTATTTTATTTTTGTGTGGTGAGATAGTGATCGCTAAAAATACTAAGTAGTTAGCTACCTAACTGAAGCTAACTTTCACCATTAAACTACACCAACCAGTAAATGTAATTAATCATCCAAACTGAACTGAGTTCACAGAAACCGTGCATCTCTATTCACAACATTCAAATTAAATATTTTATTTTATTTATATAGCGCCAATTCAAGACAGAAGTTATCTCATTTCACCTTTTATACAGAGCAGGTCTAGACTCAGTGAAACCTCGACAGAGATGCCATAACATCACATCTCTTCCATCACCCACGAGTACTCAGCTGGTGTGAGATCAGGCTGGTATTCTAGACAGGAAGAAATATTTCCTTTAGCACGATGAGAAGATGGATCCATTATGCCACATCCAGGAGATGGTTAGCTTAGCTTAACATGCTGTCCATGTTGTGTCCTGTTTGTTTAATCTGTTCACAAATCAAAGTGTAACAACGGCTACTCGTGGTTTTACAGGGCGTTACTCAAAAGTCAACACGTTCTCACTACCAACCATATAAAAGAAGCAACAAAATATAGAACCAGTTAGACTTTCAAAATAAAACTAGTGGTTAACGTTGCAGTTACATTACGAAACGTCACAGTTTGGTGAGGTTTAGACACCAAATCTAGTTGGTTAGGTTAGGGAAAAGATCACGGTTTGGGTTAAAATAACAACGTTACTAAGTCCGGTTTCTGGTCACCCATCTCAACCACCCTCGGACCTTTCTGTTAAATATCCTACATGTACCTTTAGCATTCAAAGATGACATTACAGGGCTTCCCCACTGTGATGAACTATGACCCTAAGGGGCTCCCCAGTGAGTTACAAACTGACGCCACCAGGGCTTGACCGTGCGTCCATATGTGACGAGATGAGAGTGAGAACGTGTCTTTAAAGGCAGTGAGTCAATTAGATGATGCCACTTGGTAGGAGACACAATCAGCTCCACAGAGAAACGCTAATAAATGCTAAGTGCTTTGCAAAGGCTTTAGACGGAAACTGACCCGAACCTGCGCTTTATATTAAGTTCAGTAATGGCAGACTTTATCGCACGTTAGTTTAAGGGCACCGATCGGGCTCCACATACATGATTTTCTTCGATTAACAAAAAAAGTTTAACATTTTGGTGTGTGGCTTTTGGTTAACCCTCTCAAAATGTTTTACTAAACTCAAAAAATATATGTGGATGAAATCACAAGGAAGGATTTTTTCTGCTTTGGAAAAGTTGGCATACTGGAGGACTCATTACTAACAGCGGCAATTAATGCATTTTATTATATTTTTGACCCTTCAAGGAGGACACTTTAATACATTTTGAGTGGATATTAAATTGCTTTGACAGGTTGTACATTATTAGCTTCTACAAGGAACATTTAATAAAAGAGGTACATGCCAGACCAATAAAATACCCAGCAACTAGTAGCACTCACTCTACTTTATTATGGTAGTATTAGGTCTTTTCATTACCTGCCAGAATAATTTTTTTTTGTGTGTGCATGTTCTCAAACGTCCTTGAATCCAGAAAATCAGCCCCCCAAAATAAAATAAAATTAAGGTCAGTCTCTAAATTACTACGCAGCAAAGAAGTGCGGCAGAAGCAGAGATTATGCTTCATGTTGTCTTTCCTCTCCTGCTTATCCAAGCAGGAATATTTAAAGCCTTGCTATAATAATTATATCACAGTTAATATCATAATTGAATTTGGTGTATTTAAATTAAGTATCTGAAATGTGTGTTTATCTCTGCGGTGCCAGGCCGTGTGGAGGAGAGGATGCTTTTTATTCCTGAACTGTCCATCATGAAGCTCTGTGATATGAAATCTTATGTGTTATCATTTAATTTTCTTGCCTTCTACAAAAGCCTTTCAGAGTGTGTGGGTGTTTTCAGTGACAGTCGCTCAGACAGTGTTGTGAATAGAATTGTTTTTCTTAAAATCCTTCCTTCTCCATATTTAACTTTTAAATTGTAATCCCCCTAACTGGAGGAAAATGAAGCCTTTAAAGTTTGTGTGTTTATGTGTGTCATTACCTGTGGCCGTAGCTGCTGGCTGATGTTGTTGGGGTCCAGGGCGAACAACGCCTCCCGTGCGCCGACGTACAAAACCCTCTCGTGGTCGGACAGAGTCAGCATGCTGTAGTTGCACACTCCCTGGACGCTGAACCTCGCCATGCTGTCCAACACATCTGGATAAAGACACACATCGTTAGATTGCTGATAATACATACCTGCAATAAAGCTCATCGCTCCTTTCATCTGATCTGTTGACAGATGACAGAATATTAAACTGAGAAGAACATTTCACACTTCCCCTTTTGACATTTGATGATGTCTCAGTTTGTTCACACCACCAAGCCTCGCCCACTCCCCCACCTATAGCTTAATGTCATCGATTCTGTTTGTACTGTGGTGCTGCATGCATGGTAATGTTTCTCAGTGTCAGTTGGATGTGTAAATAGGCAAGTATTTGCTAACACATTCTTCATTTTAGCTTTATAAAACTGATAATAGTTTGAGATGACTGCGGTATTGGTATCGGTATCGGCAATACCAGACTGGGTATTACGTGGTACTGGATCGGATAGGAATTAAGTGCTTACAGCTTGTTGCACTGCCCCCAAGTGGCCAAAAAACTAGGTGTTGATAGTGAAATGGCTTGTAGCTTGCAGTGTTCTTTCTCCAGGTCAGCAGAGAGCAGCCAGACCGCCCTTTTATTCAATTTAATTGGCTAAAAAATTCAGTTTGACCCCATTTACACCTCTGCTATGTCCTCGACTCCCAGAGTAAAGTACCGCAGTGCATTTACAATAATCCACACCACTAAGAGATCTTCATTTGAAGATAAGAACTTCAAATTAACAAAGACGTGAAACAAACAATACATCAACATAAACACAACTGTAAAAAAAAACATTTTAACTAAAAGCTCTCATGGTTATAACTTATCAGGTCCTAATGAGTTAGCAGTAAGCTACCCACAGTATCTAGCTTCAGGATCTGTTGTGAATTATTCCAGCAGGATGGAACGCTGCACTGAAAGCTTCCCAAGCTCTGTATTTACTTTAAAAACTTGGAGCAGAAGCCAATCTTCAGGGCAGGTCTGATAAGTTCCAGATCTGCATGTCAGAAGCGAGATAAGGTGGTCGTCTATTTAGAAAAAATAAACAACAAGCAGTGATGCTCTTGCCCTATCAGCCCTTGTTTTGATGAAGAGTGCAATGGCGTGTACCATTACAGCCACCAGTTATATTGATGACTACAGATGATATCACCATAATCTAGGACTGACAGAAATGCTCAGCACAATCTTTTTTATCACTCAGCCGATGCTTTAATGTGAGTTTTTAGAGTGAGTTTGTTATTGAGCCAGATGCCAAGATGTTTGGATTCATAAACATGTACAATACAAATTCCATTAAGACTGGTAATTTTCAAATTGAGAAAATCGGCTAATCTTCTCTTGGAAAACAACCTAAATTGTGTTTTGCCTCAATTTAACACAGCTCTTAGAGTAAGGATTGTTAAAAGACTGATAGATTCAGTACTGCAGCTTTACAGAGACTCCCTCAATGGGAAAGAGCAGCTTAATCTAGGCTATAGAGAGCACCTCCACACGACACAACAGGGATTTAGTTAGACCAAGAAGCATTATAGCAAATGGGAAATGAGATGATGGCAACGTGGACAGGATGCAGAGCTAAAGATTGCATATAAATGCACACCAATGATGGGTGTGAATCTGCAGGTGTGATTGGGTTCATTATCTGGGCTGCACATCCAGATTTAATACAAGGCCAAAATGAGGCCTCTTACTCTGATTAGCCTATCGCTCAGCATATTAACGGAATATTAGCCTCCTGGTAAACCCCGTTATTAATCAAATAGCTGAATCAGTGTGATTTGTCCCCACACTGTCTCATTTGTTTAAGGATTGTCCATATATTTGGGTTGTTTCTCATTTTGCTGGCACAGACCGACGCACACAATCTCAAAAAGATTATGAGAAAATCACAAAATGTTCTCTCCACGGCCCCATCTGCAGGCCTTTTTTGGAAAAACCAGAGCTGACTTTTTTCATCAAATTTTTTAAAAAGATGCACCCACTGTTTTGCTGTTCACTCTCTCTCTCTCTCTCTCTCTCACACACACACACACACAAACACACTCCATTCAAATCCCCTGACTAGCATACAGACAAACTAGTGGTGCAGAGCAGATGAGAAAGCAAGACAGAGACAGGAGGAACGAGAGAACGGATGGTGTTTAGTTTTCATTATCCACACTCTTGTTGCTTGCAGTGTCACCTTGTTCTCCCTCTCCTCCTCTCGCTCACTTCATCTGGGCTGATAGAATGCGTGCGAAACGCGAGGCGACGACAGCCCGTGCTGCACGTAATGCGATCTCATAAATTGAATAAGAATATTTTTTCTTTTTGTTTTCTACAGCATGAATATTTCCACCTCTATTTTCTTTTTTTCTCTCCCCCCAACTGAAAATAGCAGCTGAAATCCAGGGAGGGAACAGCAGGAACTGGTATGATTTATGGTGTGACTAACTGCTCGTGTGTCGCTGTGGCCTAGTTGGGACTAAATATACATGGAGCAGGTTGTGTGTGTGTGTGTGTGTGTGTGAGAGAGATAGAGACAAAATAAAATACGGTTAGAAAAGTCAGGCTTGTTACTGAATGCTTGATGGTCGTTCAGCCTAAAGCCAGTTCTTGGAAGATTTAGTCTTTTTGTTGTTACAAATGCAAGGTAATCCTTTTCTATACCTGCTGCACAGGGAGGGAGGGACCCTTTTTATATGCACAGAAAATGTTGCTTTCAACTGAGCGCAATCACATCAAACACGCTCACCATTTTACATCAAAGGTGGTGCCAAAATCAGGAAAAACAAACTCAACTTTCAGTCTGAATGACAAGTTCTGAAAGTCCTCGGAATCATGGAAAGTCAGAGCGTTTACAACTATGCAAACTTTGTCGGCTGATGAAGACTGTGTGATATGGTCGAATGCTCCAGGAGAAGCTAGTAAGCGGACCTTGAGTAGAAAATGCTTTGTCAGCTGCCGTCTCCATAGGTGTAATTTACACTGGGGACACATGAGACATGTCGCCACCACTTTTTGAAAACATCTGCTAAAGGTTTTCTGAAAATTAGCTTGCAACAAGAAATGTTAAATAACAAATAAAATTTCTATGAGAATGTTTTACTTACACAGTAGGAAAACATGAAATTCAATGTAAATATAGAATAAATATATCTGCCTTGTACAAAAAATTACAAATTACAAAATTACTAACGAACTGTTCTAGACCTTCTAGAAGCTCCAGATGTGTAGGACGAGATTAGTGCCCATATATTATTGCTTAATTTTCCAGCAAAGTCGTGAAAAAATGATCAGAAAAGTACGTTTTATTTTATTTAGGAAGCTGTTCCTAATGACACAAGTGGTCATTTATGACCTGCAACACCCTGTGGCACCAAATTGTGTCTTTCTAAGAAGCTGTTTTTTGAACTGTCGAGTTTAGGCCACCTGACTCAGGACTTTGGCAATGAGAGCAGAAGCTGTAATATTTACTGACTTAAATAAAAACGTGATACCATCCAATAGACATTCAACCTAAAGCCGTTTCTTGAAAGCTTTTTGTTGAGGTCATCTCTTTTTAAACCTGCCAGGAAGTTTGTAATTTTTAAAGAAAAACAACATTGATTTTAATTGAGTGCAAAGCCTCACTGAACTGACAGTGTTAGACCAAATGACGTCAGAATCAAGAAAAAGAGGGTATTATTAGATCTTTGGCCCCAACGTAATTTGAGTGTGAGACCCCTGACTTTTGCAACACAGCTATTCATGTACTTGAAATTTTTACCATTTTCATGCAAAAACATCCACAATGTTCAAAGTTTTAACTGTTGACTCCACAACTCTCTCCAACAGCATTTTGACCATCATGGCACAATAAAAACCCACTTAAACCCTGCTGCCAACCTGCTTCCTTGTGTGTTTTGTAAAGGCATTATATAAAAAAAAACCCATGGTGAGTCAAATCTGGTTATGTTATTGCAAAAAAACAAAACTGACATGTTGTGAGAGCAGAAGGATGGAAGGAGAGAGACAGAGGAGAGGAGGGAATAAGGAACCAGAGGAAGGGAGGAGGATAAGTACTGAAGCCAGCTTATTATCTGAAGAGCAGCGGTGTATAAACATTGGAGGGTATGTACGGATGAGGGAGCTTGATGAGAGTGAGTGAAGAGAGAGAGAGAGGGAGGCGGCATCCTCAGGGGAGAACTGAGCACATCTGCTGTGTTCCACACAGCCGGGCAAAAAAACTCCAGAGCTGACACACTTTTAAGTTACACACATCGCACACACACTCACATTTACACAAATAAGTGCACATCTGAACACATGAGCGCGCACAGAATATCCAAAGTTTATGTGTAAGCTAAAAGACACATTGCACAAACACAAACACACACACACTTGCATGCAGAGTCCTGCATAGATCTCCAGGGTACCTGCTCAGTGACTTGAACTGCTCTCCACCAACAGAGGGAAAGTTTTTGCTCCCAGTGGCTTGTTTGAAGTGATCAGCGTCTCTGTCATTAAGAGGCAATACGAGCAGACGCACTTACCATCTGCCACCACACTGTGGCAGCCCTGAGGCTACCTGCGTTATGTGTGTGTGTTTGTCTCTCTGTAACTGACACAAGGCTGTCCACACCTGCGGGTTCATCACTATTTATGTGCAAGTGACCGTGTGTGTGTGTGTTGTGTGTGTTATTTGGAAAGACAGTGTGTGAGTTCCCATTTATGTAAACACCATCTGTATGGTTTCCACAGCTGCGGAGAGCTGAATATAAAGAATAAACGAGAATCTAAAGAATATGAAGGAGAAAAACGGCATAACAGAAAGGAAGCATATCGTACAACTAACCTTGTACTGAATATAGACACAGAATCCTGTCATTCGACAGGATCAGCCCTATAGTTACTGCATGTAAGACATCTGAAAAAGCTTTAAACTAGGATTCTTTTCAGACTTGTAAGGACCTGATGAATGTGCGTGTGTGTGTGTGTGTTTTGGCGGTTTGGGTTAAATTACAAGGCCTTTGATGCTCGGAGACAACAGTTTCTGGGGAGCAGAAGAAAAAGGGAGAATACAAATAATAGAGTGCGAATAAA